CCGCCTGGCTCTTTTTATTTTTTTTATTCTTATTTTTTCCGAGACAGGGTTTCTCTGTATTGCTTTGGAGGCTGTCCTGGAACTCACTCTGTAGACCAGGCTGGCCTCGAACTCACAGAGATCCGCCTGCCTCTGCCTCCCGAGTGCTGGGATTAAAGGCGTGCACCACCAACGCCCGGCTTTGATTTTTATTTTTTAAGAAAGGGTCTCACTCTGTAACAGCTTGTTTTTTTTTTTTTTTTTTTTTTTTACACAAAGGTATTCAAAAGCTTATTTCAGGAATCTGCTTTCTTGAGACAGGATCTCACTATGTAGCCCAGGTTGGCGTTAAACGCAGTCCTCAGCCCTCAAGTGCTAGGATTAGTGTGATGACCACATCCAACTTCAACAATGTTAAACTATAACCAAAAAGTAGGAAAAACTCTATAAGGGATTGACTGACTGAAGTACAGTTCACTATAAAATAAATACCAAGAGCCATTAAAGTGCTGGTGTGGATGAGTATGTATAATACAGGAAATATTCAAGAAATTTTATTAATGAAAAACATTTAAAGGTATATGTGGTATACTTTTGAAAGAGCATTAATATACATAAGGTGAAGGCACTGAAAACTGCTTAGGCAACTTACAGCATGTCCCTTCTGAGTAGTGAATTGATAGTGAGCATCACTTTTTTTCTACCATCAGCAAATATTATTATTTTTTTTTTTTTTTGGTTTTTTTGAGACAAGGTTTCTCTGTGGCTTTGGAGGCTGTTCTGGAACTCACTTGGTAGACCAGGCTGGTCTCGAACTCACAGAGATCTGCCTGCCTCTGCCTCCCGAGTGCTGGGATTAAAGGCGTGCGCCACCTACGCCCGGCCAAATATTATTATTAATGTTATTTTGTTATTTTTTTTGAGACAGTTTCTCTGTATAGCCCAGGCTATCCTGGAACTTGATTTATAGGCCAGGATGGCCTTGAACTCATTGAGCTACACCTGTCTCTGCCTCCTAAATTCTGGGATTAAATGTGTGCACCACCACCACCCGGCACACATATTATTTCTATTATAAGAAACAAATGCTCTGCCTGAATGTGATGCACACATCTGTAGTCCCAGTAGTTGGCAGAGGTGGGGGCAGACAAGAATTCAATATCAGTCTCACCTACACTTGATATCAAGGCCAGGTCTGAGCCTCTGTCTCCAAGGTGGAGTATGCATGCTAGGAGTCTTGCATTTAAAGCAAAACACATAGACCCTAGGCTTATCATCTGTCAATTTTAGGGACATTGCCCAGAAATTCTTAGCAAAATGATGTCTTTGTCTACTCATTCTTTCCCTCTAATTAATCCTGCTTTTCTTTAATTGTGTAAAGAATGTAAAATAGTCTTCATTTAATTATATTTTTGATAGCTGTTTTTATGTTTTCTGAGGTGCTGACAAGATAGTTTGGTGAGTAAAGGCACTTAATGATAAGCACCCACACACACATATAAACTCACATACACACACTATAGCACCCCATAAACACATCTATACACACCACAGCTCCCCATATATAAACACACATACACACTACAGACCCCACATATAAACACACATACACAGTCCACCACATAAACACACATATACATATCACAGTCCACCATACATAAACATGAATACACATACTACTGCCCCCATAAACACATTTATACATACCACAGCCCCCCCACATATAAACACACATGCACATACCACAAAACCCCACATATAAACACACATACACACACTAAAGCCCCCCACATACACATGCATACACATACCACAGCCCCCCCTCATATAAACACAAATACACATACAGTCCTCTACATATAAACACACAAACATACACCAGTCCCCCATATATAAACATGCATACACATACCACAGCCACATAAACACATCTACACACTACAGCCCCACACACATAACACATCTACATACACTAAGACACAGTAAAAATGTTTGTGTAAGACATTTCAGCTATGCTATGGACTACAGATTGTTTAGAACATTATTCTGAGGTCCAAATAAAATTACAATCTTTTTTCATCCCTTTCTGTCTTTTCTTCCTCCCACCCCTTCTATGGCCTTGAACTTCGGATCCTCCTGCCTCACCTCTGAAGTGCTGGGATTACAGGTGGTTGCCACATCCCTTGCAAATGTGTTTTTCAGAGAATTTTCAGTCAACTGGATGACCCAGCTGTTAGAGGCACCTGCCACCAAATCTGAAGACCTGTGTTCAACACTGACATGACATGGTAGGAGCAGCCAGCCTCCTGTAAATTGTCTTCTGACCATCACACATACTCCCACCCCTCCTGCAAATGCATACAATAAAATTATATTGTGTTGTTCAACAGTTTCTTGACTTAGAGGCGCTTGCTTGTGAGCTGAGGCTCTAGTGGAAGCAGACACTGCAGGTATGATTGTACGACTTGGGAGTCTGAAAAGTTCACGGCCAGACAGTTTGGTAAGGGCCTTATGCTGCGTCATAACATAGCAGGATTGCATGAGAAAGAGGCCAAACTGGTGGAGCTACCTCACTTTCTAACAACCTGTTCTGTCAGTAGCAAGTCCAGTTCCTCAACACCTCCCTCTCTTCCTTGAGATGGGCACTAATTGCTGTTGGAGGTGGTGCCCTATAACCCAGTTAGCTCCTATTAGGTTTTATCTCTTGGAGAATCCACCAACTCTCAGTCAGTTACCTTGGGAACCAAGCCTTGAGGCTATAAACCACATGGATACCCAGCCCCATCATGTCTGCTTTGTATGATCTGAGCCATTCATCACTGTGAGGACCAAAGGGTGTGTGGTGAAGAGCAGCTGTCTCAGAAAACAAAAGGGAAACAATGGCAGTGAGGTTAGACTACATTTGGGGCATCACGGAGAGTTAGTTCCCAGTATCTTCAGAAAAACTCAGAGGGACTGTGGTCCCTGAAGACAGGAGCTCCAATCAGAGGCTAAGGAAGCTGGACCCTCTGGAAGTAGTTTTAAAACTGTAGCAAAGAAACTTATTTTGGGTATTTGTTTCCAGTGGAATATGGGGATCATCTGGCTCACTGTCATGTGTCCAGAGCAGCAGAGCCTTGGCACAATACAGGTGGTGAAAGAATTCCTGAAACAGGAACACTTGGTAAGAACTGTGCCAGTGTTCCCAGCAAGGCCCAAATGCTGTTTGTTCTCAGGGAGGAATGCAGGCTTTGCTAACCTTGGTTCGTATGTCATGCTAGGGTTTCATTTTTTAATTTTGTTACGTGTCAAACTCCTCAAATTTTACGGGCAAAACAAGTATAAATTTATAAGATCTCTTGACCTGTCTTTCAAGATGTCTTTAAATTCTATCTAGCATAAATTTATAAGATCTCTTGACCTATCTTTCAAGATGTCTTTAAATTCTATCTACCATGGACTTAAAAAACATCTAGATCAGGCATGTTTGGTCTCAACTATCAATGTGAAGAACTGATTTTATATATACCAAACTGTTTAATGTATAAGGCTCTCCTTTCAGATTTAATTATCATACATAATCCATACATTTCAAGCGTCTACAGAAAAATGCTAATAACCACCAATTTTGTCGCATCCATAGCAACCATTCTGGAAGAAAGCTTTTTCTAACTGGGCAAGACCCCAGGCTCCTCTCTTTAAAATCTCTTGACTGCTGCCAGTTTCCAACCACATCTGCCCCTGTCAGGCATGCAGCTACCTCTATCTTTAGAAGCCGTTAGGGACTCCTCCCCCACACCCCAAGAGGTTCCTACACAGTAGTCGCATCTGGAATTTACTGAGATGTAATCAATTCTCACTCCCAAATGGGTTAAAATGATGGTGTGTGGGGTAATCCATGTGGTAGAAGCCTCCAAGTAAGAATTATCAGTACTGTAGGCCAGCTTCAGCTCATTGGTGCCAGCCATTTTGGTTCATTTTGACACTAAAAAGCACACTTATCCATTTTGGTATATTCTTCAATTTGGTTTTCATTTAGTAAGGTAAAGTACCATGTGTTATTGCCTGGTTATTTTAAAAGCATTACAAGGACTTCTTAGGCAGTTTTGCAAAATGATCCACGTAGGGCCTCTTGGCCTCTTTTCACATCTTTATGGGTAGGTATCAAGTAACTCATGTAGCCACATTGGCCTTTTGATGACCTTGAGTATTGCTTGTTATGAAAGGTGAAGCCCACACCACAGAGCTGCAGAGCTGAACCCTAGGGACCTAGCTTCTTTAGGTGGGAATCCGGGTGAGTCTAAACATCTTTATCCTGAGTGATCCTACTTAGCAGTATTTGTTTTTCTCTTGCCTCTACCTTCCTGGTACCAGGATTATAAATATGTGCCACCTCACCTGGCCAACAGTAGTGTGCTGCTCATGACACACAGTTCTGAATAATCCCTCCCAGACAAAGCAAACTTTGATTTATTTTATATAGTGGTCTCCATTTGTTTATGAAGGACATAACTGAAGTCTCCCCATGGATGCACACAACTGCAGGGAACAACACACAAACTTTAACCTCTATGTATACTGTTTCTTCCTGGACAGATAAACATATGTACATATGATAAAGTAGATACAGTAAGAGCTTGACAGCTCACACATTAAACGCAGGAAAATGTTGCTCCACTGTTCTCTCATGCTGAACCTTTAGGTAAACCGCTACTGATCCAGATGATGAGAAAAGGGGCGCCAGAGCAGGTAATGAAGAGTCTGACTGTGTGCTGTGAAAGGGAGACTCCTGCTCCAGCAGGGTGGAGCAAGACCCTGTGAAACTTCATCATGCTACTCAGAAAGGAATGCATCCTTCCTTCAACACAGTGGGGCCCTGGAGTAACAAAACCACTAAGAGAAGCCTCAGCGAAGGACCGTGGAGGTCACTTAGTCTACTGAGATCAACTGAGCCTGAGTCTCTCAACACTGTCCAAATGGCACATTAATATCTGAAATTAATATACATTTTCTATAAAGGACTTTGGTGGGGAAAATACAGGTAAGCAAAGAACTTCCAGTTTTTTATTTTTTTAAATTATTTAACAAGGAAAACGGTCAATCAAGATTTTAAAAATTAGAATGGATTAATTTACAACGTAACAGTCAACTTAAAATATGAGCCCCTTTACTTAGAGCCACGGAGGCCAACAGTCCGCATTGGAACAGCAGGTGTGCACAGTTGATGTTCTGACCTTTATTTGACAACACGGAAATACAGAAGTCACACAGCTCCCACTACCCCCCTTCTCTCCAGAGTTCAATACTTGTCTAGAGCAGTACTCAGACTTTTAAAAACATCTACAACTAATCTCATGAGAACACTCTTAAAACAATTCTTACAAAAAACAAACACCTTAAAATGAATTTGTCTCAGACAGCTTAAAGAAATAGCAAAAATAAAAACTAATGTTTAAGAATTATCTTTTTTTTTTTTAAGAAATCACCCAGGCAAAATGTTATTAACTCTGCTTGTCATAATTAGCAGAGATAATTACATGAAGCAGAACGCACCATTTTCTGATCCTTGGTTGTAGCTGCCAGCTTGAGTTTATGACTAAATACAAAGGAAGTAAGACTAAGCTCACACATTCTGGAATGAGGAAAACAAACATTTCTCCTTATAACATTTTATCTATCTCCATATTCAAGTCATGAGAAAGTTCACAGCAGTTAAAAGGCTGATTCTTTGGTGGCTGGCTAAAACCAACCACACCCACATCCCACATCCCACACAGCACTCCTACAGGAACACTAGTAAACACAGTACTGTGTTACCAACACACACTGTAAGTGCTGGAGCAAACAGCATTGAACAGGCTTACACAGGTTAGGTATCATAGCTCTTAGAACACTTCATTTTCATACTTTCCAATGTGTGAACAAAGCTTAAAATAACTGCCTTAAAGGAATATGTTCATTTGTGACAGCTGGCCAGGCACTTAAGTTCAGGAAGAGAGGCTTTGCGTTTCTGAGGTAAACCAGAACTCTCTTTAGTAACCACACATTCTAAATCCACTTTTTGATACCACCCCAACTACTCAGCTTTTAAGTTTGTCACTGTTAGGCCAAACAAAATCCATACCCTGTGGGACATAAGCTACCAAGAGCATATGAAGCCAACTGGCTTCTTTTGTATATATATTACTGTGCTCAGAACATACTGGAGACCAACTACAGACATATACATAAAAGGGATATGGTCAAAAGATGCCAAGAGTAGTAACTTTCTCCCTAAAGGGACACTAAGTTTAATAGACTTTTTAGGTATACATCACCAGTCACACAGACACATTAAAACAGAACAAGTCCAAGGTCTCAACAGCTTCAGGAAGATGACTGAGCAATGCTTAAAAGGCAGTGTTTAGGAATGCAAACCCCACTGGAAAGGTCCCAGCATTAGCACTGAGAAGCCTTCTTCCCTCTTCTGAATTAGTTCCACAGTGATAGGGAATTTGCTTAACAGTGAAAATTCATATGAGAAAATAAAGGATCAGCCAGATGTGGTGGAACGTGCCTGTAATTCCAGCACTTGAGAAGTTGACACAAGAGGACTATTGTGAGTTTGAGGCCAGCCAGAATTACACAGCAAGGTCAGGAACCCCAGGATTTCAGGTTTTTAGGTATTACAAGAACAGAAGAGAAAGTGGCCATTTTTGAATTAGTTTCGGATTTTCAACCAAGGTATTCAATTTTACTTTTTCATTAGAATTATTGAGCTGAGTTTAAGTATTATCACAAAAAACAAAACCCACTAATGAATTACCTGCAAATGGAAATACCAAGCCTATATACCAAGTATTAATGACATTTTACATTCCTTTCTCAAACAGCAAAGGAACCCTCTTGATTCAAACGAATACATCAGCTTTTGTTATTTGGAAAACTTACTTATTGACATGTTTTAAATACTTTAAAAAAGTTATATAAAGAACAGCTAGCCGACAGGGGAGAGACGGAGATTTGAACTCTGACTTCAGTTTCAATGTGGCTAAAATAAGGGTCTGAAAATGTAAAAACTTCTAAGTTTACCCCACAGCACACCAAGTGTTTCCAGTCCTGGTATAGGACCACTCTTTTATTCTTGTAGCGCTAACAGCAGGCACCAGGCAAAAACCTATAAGTAGAAATAATGGGCAGGGAGCAAATATGGGTGAACTTTTCGTGATGCTAACTGGCTGTTCAAGTTTTGAAACCATGACCTTGGTCCATTAGCACCATGGTTTACCCAACTGAAATAATTACTCAAGCCCCTGTGGGATGCTTAAACTGCTATAGGATGAGGGAAGGGGGAGAGTAAGAAGGGGACTAAGGGCAACTCTCTCTATATATGCCATGAAGAAACGTTGCAGCAAAGATATAATCTGTCTGCTAATAAACTGTATTTGAGTTTGGAAGAATCAGTAATCATAGCTATAAAATAACATACCAATTTTTATAGTATTTGACTATCTATAGAGATGGAGTTTCCTAGTATGACCCAAATTTGGTTATAATGGAAGTTCATTGAATTCTAGAGTATCAGTAAACTAAAAGAAATTAGAAATATTCATAGGTAATATGCTATCAGAAAAAAAATTAGATGAAAATTAAGTGAGATTAATCATAATTGTTTCAGTATCATCTTTCTCTTGGGAGAACCCCAAACAGGGAAACTGTTTTCATGTATATAGACATGGCATCTGCCATTAGGTGGACACACCTTTCCCTCAAAGACAGATGGCTCATAGTTCCTTTCCTATATAATGGTTCTTAGAACATCTATCCCACTTACAAGTTGTAAAGGAAGCCTACAGACCACTTTTAGGAAAAAGGCACTTTGCTGTGAAAGTTGGATTTAATTTCATGCAGCTGAGAAGACTAGGATGGACTCAAGTCAGTATTCGTGTTTGCATTTATGAACACAGAGCAGATGCCAGTTTATAGAATAGAGCTGATCACAGTACAAATCAACCAATCAATAACATTAGTTATATTCTTAGGAAAACAGTAATGTATGACATTTCCCCCCCAAACTAACAAGGCCAAGTTCAACAGTTAGGAGAGGGGGAAAAAAAACAAAAATCACCAGCAGTTGCTACCTTAGAGCTTAAGAAAATGTGTCAACAGAATTGAATGTCTATAGTTTGGTTCTCTGTATCAAGAGTGTAAATTGCTTTTCAGAGGACAAACCCGGCTGGCAGAGGTGTGTTTGTTTCTAAGGAAGAGAACCCAGCTCAGAAAACTACTGGGGAGTAACAGGCATATTTCTCTGGTCGGACAGCCGAGTGAGGAGGTAGTTATTCTGAGGAGGTCTCAGGTTAGATGACTATGCTCATCTACTGAGTCAGGGAAGCAGGAAGCAGGAGCTTCGATGAGATGCAGAGAGCAGCAGGGACACATCTCCTCCAGGGATGTCAGAACCAGGGCATCAGTGCAGCTGAAAGAGACGGGATGTATGAGAAACAAGGGCAAGAAACTAGAGTGAATCAAGACATTTCAAACTTGTCCTACCTTGAAAGTGGCTCTTTTCTGATGGCAGAATTATCAAACGGTCTAGGAAAGAACACAGTGTCATTTGTTTTCCATACTGTGAATCTTCAAACGCTTGTCCATTCCACAAACATGGTACAAAGAGGTCACAAATACCTAATACTAAAAATAGGAAACTGTAGAATAAATGCTGAAAGAATAAATTAGCCCTTAGCACTCTCTGAACGGGTGCCATTAGGGAAATTATTTTTTAAATAGTGTGTGTGTGTGTGTGATGTATATCAGTGCCTGTGGAGGCCCAGAGGAAGGGAATTGCTGAGAAATGAATCAGGTTCTCTGGAAGAGCAGTAAGTATTCCTAGCCACTAGACCATGTCTCCAGCTTCCAGGAAAGTTATTTTCTAGTTACAAATTCATGGAAATTCTCATTTAAATTGCAAAAGACAGTAGTGTTCACACTATTTGGAACAGCCTAATGCTAAATAGATATAGTTATGAGAAAACACAGACTCACCTTATTACATCACCACACAGGGCAACCCCATACAACCTTGAGTGCCATCATCATTGCTGTTGAGCTTTTTCATTCGGTACTGGCGTATCTCCCTTACCAGTGTGTAAAAGGCATCTTCCACACCCTATTAAAAGAAAAAGGAAAGCTGGGCGTTGGTGGCGCACGCCTTTAATCCCAGCACTCGGGAGGCAGACGCAGGAGGATCTCTGTGAGTTCGAGGCCAGCCTGGTCTACAGAGCGAGTTCCAGGACAGCCTCCAAAACAATACAGAGAAACCCTGTCTCGAAACCACCACCACCCCAAAAAAAAGAAAGAAAAAGGATGAAAGAAAACAAAAACTGCCACAGTCTAAGGTGCATGCTCTCACACTTCTTGTGTAGATTCAAATACTAAATCATAGCCAATAAATTAGGTGAGTTAGTGTGGTGGTCTGAATAGGAATGGCCCCCGTAGATTCATTTGTTTGAATACTTGGCCCATAGGGGTGGCACTGTTCGGAGACGTGGCCTTGTTAAGTAGCTGTGAGCCTTGGAGGAAGTGTGTCACTGTGGAGGTGGGTTTTGAGGTCTTATGTGCTCAAACTACTCCCAGTGTAGCACACAGTCTTCCTTCTGCTACCTGCAGATCAAGATGTAGAGCTCTCAGCTCCTTTTCCTGCACAATGTCTGCCTGGATGGCCGCCATGTCCCACCATAACAATGGACTGAACCTCTCAAACTGTAAGCAAGCCCCAATTAAATGTTTCCTTTATAAGAGTTGCCATGGTAATGGTGTCTCCTCACAGCAACAGAAACCTTAAGTAAGACAACTATGAAGAAGACTCTAAGTCCAGCATTTCTAGGGGAATCACACTGACAGGCTGATACAGAAATGGCACGACTGTTTCCCAAAGGTAGTCCAGCAAAGAGAAAAGGGCACTGAGGGCAAGAGAATAGACTGTAACTACCAAATATGAGGATTCCCTTCAGTAGAGTTAAGCCTTCAATAGCGGAGAGTGCTTATAGAATACGGATTCATGCTTACAAGTATGTTTAAGTTCTTCACTAGAAAAATTTGAGCCTGCTAAAGCAGGAATAAAAATGTCACCGAACAGTGTTTATGGGGTGGCAGATGGACACACAGGAGATTAAGGAAAACCCAAAACCAACCAAACAAAAATCACCAGAAAGTCATTACAAAGAACACAGACTACACTTGTAGCACACTTGACCAACCAAACCTTATGCCTCAAACAAACCCTCACACTGCTCACATCTCTAGCATACCTGTCGGGTCTTGGCTGAGGTTTCAATGAATGGAATTCCATAACTCTTGGCCAGCTCATGGGCTTGCTTTGTGTCAACTGTCCTTGTTGGCAAGTCACATTTGTTCCCTACCAGCACCATGGGTACATCATCAGAGTCTTTCACTCGTTTAATCTGCTCCCTAAAACAGAGAATACAGTAGTAGATCTTAAGAAAAACAAGCTTTTTTGGGAGGAATAAACTGGGAGGGCAAGAAAAGGTGGTAAATCCTTTTAGCTTTTATTACTCAGCTTACAAATTCTGACCACTTACAACAATAGACCTGTGCACTAAGGATGCTGGTTTAGACGTGGTGTAGCAGCCATAACCAGACTGTGCCTACCAATTAACTTACTAGAAATAGCTGGCTCATATATCCCAACACATGTCCTCATTAGGTTTCTAGATTTTTCCAAAGAGCTTGGCTCTGGATTTCACTGAAAACTACAAATAGTACTTTAAAGATTAGAAGTATAAAAAGTAGAGCTCATAGATTCTAAATGACTTAAAAATCTTTAACTTAATATGAATCTGTGTGTGTGCAGATACCATGGCATGGAGGTCAGAGGAAAACCCTGGAAGTTGATTTTCTCCTTCTACCTTATGGGTCCTGGGGAATCAAACTCAGGCTGTCAAGCTTGGCAGCAGGTACCTCTGCCCACTGAGCTGTCTTGCTGACCCCTAAGTAATTTTTTGAAGCTCCCTTTACAACACTACTTAATGGAAGATAATTAAGGCACTGCTTAAGATAGGCGGTGCCCTAATACTTTCCTCAAAGAAAACACCAAGAAAACTACATTTGCTCTTAATAAATGTATGTGCATGCAGGCATGTGTACAGATCCAGAACTACCAAAGATAACGAACTCACAATAACCCACCTACCTCTACCTCCTGAGTGCTAGGATTAAAGGCCTGTGCCATCATATCTGGCAAAGATAGCTTCCATTTCAGTGTCTATACATACAATATAGCACCCGTTGTATTCTAGAAGTTGTTTTAGATTCTCTCTCTTTTTCTTTTAGGATTTATTTATTATGTATACTGTGTTCTGTCTGATGTATCCCTGCACACCAGAAGAGGGCACCAGATCTCATTACAGATGGTTGTGAGCCACCATGTGGTTGCTGGGAATTGAACTCAGGACTTCTGGAAGAGCAGCCAATGCTCTTAACCTCTGAGTCATCTCTCCAGCCCCCTAGATTCTCTTGACAAAGAACTTTTTGTGGTAATAGAAATGGTATCCAACATGGTAGCTCCTATTGAGTACTTCTGTCAGTTGCTTTTGTGGTCAAGAAATGAGTTCTTCCGTTTTGTGTAAATGTTAAATACCCATATCTGGTCATGGCTACTACACTCCATTCTAGACTCTACCCTGGGATTTCAGTCACATACCCCAACTGCAGCCTACTGGCTATCTACAGAACTGCTTTAGTATAATGTCAGGTCCCTTTGCCAACCCCCATCCCCAAACTCAAAACAAAACTAAACAACAACAACAACAAAAAACTAAGCTGGGCGGTGGCAGTGCATGCCTTTAATCCCAACATGCAGGAGGAGGAAGAGGCAGGTGGATCTGAGTTAAAGACCACCCTGGTGGAGAACTTTCTACTAGCAAGTTCCAGGACAGCTAAGACGGTTACAGAGAAATCAGTCTTTAAAAAAAAACAAAACAAAACAAGCCAAAAAAATAAAAAAAAGACCCAAAACAAAAACTCAAACAAACCAAGATGACACCCTCAGACCCCCCCCCAAAAAAAACTATATCTCAGGTTGGCAGTGAACTTGTTATCTAAACCAGGGTAGCCTTGAACTCTTAATCCTCTTGCCTTGGCTTCCTAAGTAACCCCATGTTCAATGGTAGTTAAGGATATTGTAAACAGCCTAAACTCCTGGAGCATGTTGCTGATGGTCACTGCTCTTCCTACACTACTCAACCTTCTGTGAAGATCAGACACAATTTTTCTCAGCGTCAGTGTACTTTTTCTAAGCAAGCATATACAACCTGACTAGACAGCTATCATGTCTGTAGTGTGCTCAATGAAGATCACAGGGTTTCATGACAGTATACAAAAAGCTCACTGAATTTCCTCTTCACCTATTCTTAAGCCTATTTCTTTTTTTTTTTTTTTTGGTTTTCGAGACAGGGTTTCTCTGTAGTTTTTGGAGGCTGTCCTGGAACTCACTCTGTAGACCAGGCTGGCCTCGAACTCACAGAGATCCTCCTGTGTCTGTCTCCCGAGTGCTGGGATTAAAGGCATGCGCCACCAACACCCGGCTCCTTAAGCCCATTTCTAAAGTAACATTATTTTGCTATACTATACACATGCTACAGTGCGAATGTGGAGGTCAGAGGATGGGTCTTTCCTTTGATCATGTGGGGTCCTGGGACTGAACTGAGTCATCAGGCTTGGTGGTAAGTGCCCTTACCATTTCACTGACCCCACTATACATGTTTACAAGATACTTGAAATAAGTGCTTAGTCAGTAATAAGGCCATCCCTTGGGATCCAAAAGTAATTAGTTTTAAGATTTTGTTACCTCCACAAAGAACACCAAACTCTGAAATAGGAAAGAAGCCAGAACTCAAGAGTGTAGGCAGACTTACAAAGTACGTTCTATGGGTCAAGCATGGCTCTGACTGTTTATTGTCTGCTCTTGGCAACTTTATGAAGGAGGTATTCTTTTATTATTCTTTTTTCAAGGCTTATTTTTATTTTCTGTGTATGAGTGTTTTTGTTGCATGTATGTCAGTGCACATGAGTGTCTGGTGCTCAGGGAGACCAAGAAGGGGACCAGATGCCCTGGAACTGGAATTATAGACGGTTTTGGGACCCATATGGGTGCTGGCAATTGAGCCTGGGTTCTCTGGAAGAGTAGCCAGTGCTTAACTCTTGAGCAGTTTCTCTAGCCCTGAAAGAGGTTTTTTTTTTTTTTTTTTGGTTTTTATGAGACAGGGTTTCTCTGTATTGTTTTGGAGGCTGTCAGTCCAGCCTGGCCTCGAACTCACAGAGATCCGCCTGCCTCTGCCTCCCGAGTGCTGGGATTAAAGGCGTGCACCACCACTGCCCGGCTGAAAGAGGTACTCTTAACCCCATAATAAATTCAGAAACCAAAACACACAGATCTAGTGTTTTGTCCTGAAGTTAAATCTTTATTTAAAAGGTGTTTAAATAAAGCTAAGTAAAGTGTAAGTAAGTTTAAATAAGATTTTGTCCTGAAGTTAAATCTTTATTTAAAACTTACTTAGCTAATCAGTAACAGAGTCAAGTTTGGTTTCAACCTTGATAGTGACTGAAGACAGAATACTTTTCTAAGAGAGAGGCCTGGTGTTTTGGGGATCTAGGTCTGCTACTAAAGAAAAAAAATCACAACTCTGAAAATCTAACAAGCCACTTCTAAACTCTATGACACTGAAATGTAAGAATATTGGCTAACAACACTCAGGAGGCTGAGGCAGGAGAATTGTAAATTCAAGGCTAGTCTGGGATACATAGCAACATCCTGTCTCAAAAATATAAAATAAGGCCGGCGGTGGTGGCGCATGCCTTTAATCCCAGCACTCGGGAGGCAGAGGCAGGCGGATCTCTGTGAGTTCGAGCTGGGCTGGACCAACAGCCTCGAAAACAATACAGAGAAACCCTGTCTCGTAAAAACCAAAATAAATAAATAAATAAAATAAGAATGTCCTACTAGAATTGTTAGGGCCATCTAGCTTTGAAACTTTATAGTTCTATAGAATAGGCCATCTTCGGGTCCTTCGGCTTTGCTATCTAGCGTCTTTTCTGTTACTTAGCAGCAAGCTTTGTTTACAAATGAGTAGTATAGCAATAGTATACTATACACAGGAACATTTACTTTCAGTGGTAACCAGATTCTTACAAGTGCTTGGCCACTCAGCTCCAGCTCCAGCCCTTAACCTACCAGTAACTTTTTCTGTAAGAAAAACGTATGTAAGTGCCAGTGAGACAGCTCAGTCAATGGGCAAAGGTGCCTACCACTAAGCCAAAATCCCCAGAACCTAAGGAGAGAACTTTCATTAGCTATCCTCTGACTCCCATGACACATGTCCCATGCACACCTGTCCCCACCTCCACAAATTATCAAAAATTTAAAAGTTGTATATTACCTAATTTAGAACACATGTAAAATTTTCCTTTCCGAAAATAATATTCCCAGTACCTGTAGAGGTTAATATCTGCAAATGATTTGCTATTGTTGATGGCAAATACGCAGAGGAATCCTTCTCCTGTCCTCATGTATTGGTCTCTCATGGCACTGTACTCCTCTTGTCCAGCTGTGTCCAGTATGTCCAACAGACAAGTCTCACCATCAATTACCACTTGTTTTCGGTAAGAATCCTGGGAATGTGAAAGGTTGAGGTGGTGGTGGTGGGGCATAGCTAGAGGAATGTAAATACACACACACACACACACACACACACACACCCTCCCCCCCCCTTTCTCTCTCATGCCCAGGGGAGACAGAGGCAGGTGAATGTATGTCAGTAAATTCAAGGCCAGCTAGGGTAGCACAGTGAGATCCTGCCTCAAAAACAAAACCCTAGGCCAGCCTGGGCTATAAGGGTAACAAACAAACAAACAAAAATAGATCATTAACAAAACAACTAACTCCAGAAACTTCTGGCAATAATCTTACTTTTATTATATAATATTCCCACATTTGGAAGGCCTTATCTGTGGTACTGGAAATGGGCTTATCGTTCCATGCTTCTATATGGTTCCAAGAATATATTAAAATGTAGCCTCTGTAGATATCTGAATTTGTCTAACACCCTTGTATGGTAGTAGAACAGGTTTATGTATGTAAAAAATTCTTTGGTATTTTGTAAATAGGGTCTCAATATGCAGTTCGGGCAAACTTTGAACTTGGAAGCTCCTCCCTCAGTCTCTTGAACGCTGGGCTTTACACACACCTACACCAAGCCCAGTAAGGTTATGGGAATTTTACATCATGAAGAAAAATGAGACTTGTAGGGATTTAGGTGGTATTCCCCAATATTCCATAGTCAAACTGCAGAGATGGAATTCCTCAAAACCTCAACTTGTTTCTACTCCAACTGAGACTGGACTAGCTCAAGAATGAAAACTAGAGCCTATCTAGAGTTCTGAGCTCTCTTTTTCTGCTGTATGATCTCCTACAATCTTTTTCCCTGTGACCTATGTTTGTTTCCTATTTAATGGCTGCAACATTTGAAGAAATGAAATGAACTCAGCACTATTTTTAAAAGGAAGTCTTTTGTTTCTACAGTCTTTAAATTTTACTGTTTTTGGAATACAGTACTTCAAATACCTTCTTGCTTTCTCTCCTCTTTAGTATCGAAAAACAGAGGACACATTGGTAAGAAAGAGCCAAAAGTGGGAGCCAGGGCCAGCTGGTAAAATGGGCCTCACCTCTATGGTGGGATCATATTCATCCACAAAGTGGTTCTGGATTAACTGGATTGTCAAAGCACTTTTCCCAACACCACCTGCTCCAACCACCACCAGTTTGTACTCAGTCATTTCACACCAGCAAGAACCTACAGGGAAGCAGCAATTACGATTAAACTGGCAAGGCATACATACAGTACTTCAAAGGCTTTTATAATGAGTTACTAAAATCAGTGTCAAAGGCATCCATTCGATACACGTGGCCTTTCACTAAGTTCTCAAAAGTGATTCAAACACAAAAACACTTGAGGTCAGTGCGGCCACGGCTCCTTGGATTCAAGAAGCGCGTCTACTTTTTAATCGTACTCAGCCCCGCCCTCAACCTATAGGAAAGGAACCCCCGTCCTATTCCTCTTGCAAATCCAAGCTCTGGGGTCCATCTGACACGACCACTTCCCGAAACTCCCCTTTCCGGCTCCGAAGATCACCCCACGGACCGCCGCGGGCAGCCAGGGTCCCCCACCCAGGCCTTTGTCTCCAACACGCCGAGTCTCTGCGTCTTCCTGCACCCGCCACACATAAGAAAGCCGCGGAACCCGTCACCACCCAGGCCAGAGCCTTACCTCAAGCTCCGCCGACCCCGCTTCGGGAGGTTCTCGGACCTCAACCTGCGGAACTGTTAGAGACCCCGAAACCGCCATGAACAGCCCCCACCCGGGAGCAGCACTTCCGGCCCCACCCGCTACGCAATCAGTAGGCGCCCAAGCGCCCCAGTCCCCGCCTTGGCCACGTGGGCCTGCGACCTAGGAGTCTTGCAGCTGGCCACACCCAGTCCCGCCCGCCCCTCCCGCCCACTCCGGTTTCAATAATGAAAGCGCTGGGTGCTTGTGTCTCAAAAATCAGTAAAACTTTATTCGCTTCCATTCTTTCGCCATTAACAGAAAAACGGAGAAAGCAAAAATGTCTTGTGTTTACAAAGATAAATGGCCTCTTTACCCAGAGATCAAATACTCAAACGACAACGGGGAAGATGAAAGCGCCCTCCCCACAACCCCTGAGCTGACTCTTGTCATCTTTAGACAAAAAGCCTTCACTCCACTTGCCAGAGACCCTGTTTGGGGCCAATTCAAGAGGGCAGAGAAATCAGGCCAATCCATTCCCGTGATACAAAGTTGAACAGAAGCTACGCCAAGGATCAAGTGCCTGTATTCAACAGGACACTGGAACCAGGGGGCTAGTTATAAAAAAAACAGGATTCATTTCAGGCACAACTTTTTTATTTTTTTTGTTTGTTTTGTTTTTAAATCAGTAAAAGAAACTGGGTCCTAGAAGCTGCAGTGATCTAAGCAGCAGCAATTTTGTGCATTCGTCTTTTGTTTAAATATGTTTAAATTATCACACTGCTGGCACACTTCATTTGCATGAAATTCTGCACCATACATACTAATTGTAGTAAAGTTATTTACCCCCCATCCCAGGAAGAAAAAAAAAAACCTACTCTGGAAGATAATTTTCACTGAAATGTAATCAAACTCGTTAAGTGGATTGTGACAAGATTATAAATGATATGAAAATAACATTTTAACATTTGGCCATCAACTTAAGAAAATCGTTTGCTATATAAATTTTTGTAATTTTTTAAAGATAATATATTCTACCTTCATATGGTCCTCAGAATTAAAGCATAATAAACAGGAAAGAAAAGGAAAAGAATGCGGCTGAGTGCTAAGTAATGAAGGTAGAGTATATACTGAATAGAGTGCAGAATTTCACAGGGCCAACAAGGTAACAGTCTGTATTGTTCATTTACACAGGCGAAGTGGAATTTGCAATTACCAGTTGCGTTAAATGCACCAAATAAAGCTCCTAAATTGATACTATAAGGCGCCACCTTAAGTTCCCCAGGCTGCAACTGTGCATAATTTTAAAATGGTTTCTTAAATTTATTTATTTTTTTTTAAACATAACACGAGGAAGGTGTTAAAACTGGTGTAATAGCTCAATAGAATAAGTATTCCAGATTTTGGGAGGGATGAAGAGAAAGATATTCAGAACCCTTCACCAGAATCCCCCCAACTTGACCATAGTGGATTAATGATGTGCTTTGTGGGTGTGGTTAGTCAATGACACCAGCTTGACGAATCTTTCTTTCTGCACCAAATCCCTGTGAAGAAATAAAACAGTTAATAATTTAAGTGTATGACAATCACAACATGAAATTCTAACAAACTTTAATTTATCATATCCATTACAAATTCTCTCCTAAGAGTAAGAACACAATAGGCCTGAAAGCAAGAAATATGCTTCTTGGTGTGATGACACACACCTATAATCCTACCAAAGGTAAAGCAAAGGCAGAGTGGGGAGCTCAAGGCCACTCTGATCTGCATATGACCCTGTCTCAAAAGGAATGAAAAAACAAAACCTTCTTTTAGAAAGCATCTATAGGGGTAGAACAATGTGTGAGGAAACTAACTAGTGATAAGCAGTCCTTGCTTAACTAAGTTCTTTCAGTTGAAGTAATATCAGTTGACCTCCCTCAAATCCTCAACTGAATCATACCATTGAGTTATCTGGTCCCCTAGGCTGACGAAGAACCATTAGACGAGGAGCACTGGCATCGTCCAGGGAGATATTCTTCAAGCGATTGACCAATCGATCAGGTCGAGGAGCTGCAACAGCTTTAGGGCCTTCACTGTAAGTGTGAAAGTGAGAAAAACGACAATTGCTGGGAAGAAGGCAATCAGTGAGGTCTCCTACCCAAATGACTCACTTTTAATGAGAGGGATTCTTGCCTCAACTTAGCTAACTAGCAAGACAAGACAGACAAGCTTGGTTATATATACTTTTCTTAGCTCAGTTGCAACTGGTGTTGTGAAGAATTGTTTCAGTGAGACCCTAGACTTGTCTGCAGACACACTAATTCCACAGATAACATAAAACAAGGTATCCAAGTGTGTCTCAGAGACTCAAGGTCAGATAATAAATACTAGATATAGAAAGAGATATGGAAAAGAGCCCAGATAGCTCAGTTGGTAGAGCATCAGAAAGAGAGGTAAGGGAGATGGAGCATGTCAGCAAGCTCAAAGTCAGTCATGAATATAAAGTTGAAACCTGTCTCAAATCAATGAATGACTAGAGTCAAAGACAAAACTAGATAATGGTTAAAGTGGAAAATAGTATCTAATAAACCCAAACAGACAGAGTAGAAAAGGAAAGAAATCTGGCAAAGCACAGATTACACAAATTAGAGGAATGAACTCAGGGCAGTTACTAATCCAACCACAATAAACAAACTCACCAGACTCGCCAAACATTACAGGCACTGCATTTCCCAGTGCGCTGATTAAGAATCACTGAGAATTCCACCTCATCTCCTGCCTGTAACTCAATGCCATCCTGAACTTCTTTCACATGGAAAAAAAGCTTCTTGCTATCTCCTACTTCATAGTTAATAAAGCCAAACTAGAAAAAGAAAACACACACAAAGAATTTACAATGGAGCAGACATACTACAGAAAGAAAAAGCACTTCATTTTGAAAGATAATGCTAGCTTTAATTAGAAAGGAGTTATACTGATGAGCCAAATTCAGCTGGGTGTATGGCAGAAAAATCAAGAACGTTAAACTTCTGACATAACTGCCATTCATCTTATTATAAGCATGACTAAGATGGTACCTACTGAGTGACAGTAATTATTAATAATCACTCTTATTTTCTCCTTACTAATGTCACTTTTCCCCTCCTCCCCCCAAAAGCAATATGAAGTCTAAATAAAAACTACATGAGCCAGGTTGGGCTGTAGGGTGGGCGCACAGAGGCAGGTCTGGTTTACAGAGGGAGTTCCAGGACAACCTTCAAAGCTGTTTTGAAAAACCAAAAACTACATGACTTTTAAATCCCAGTACCCAAGAGGACAAGGCAGGTAGATCTCTTATGAGTTTGAGGAGAACCGGGTCTATATAGTAAGTTTTAAGCCATTCAAAGCTAGTAGGGGGAAATTTTACATAATATTTGACGATGACGTTTTCTTATCAACATTATCAAAGGACAGACGCAGATCCAGAGACACAGCACTTAATTACCTGATCTTTCACACACTCCACGGTGGCCCTACGAAGGGGTGTGATATTGTAGGCCATAGTTTGTGCATTTTGGCCAAGGACACACAACTGGAACTTGACACTCTCCCCTTTCTGCAGGCAATCCCCTTTGTTGGCCATCCCAACTATGCCAAATGGATACACTTCACCTTTCATATCCCCTATAAGCAAAGCAACACAAACTCAAATATACACACTAAAAATGCATTTTGTTACCTTACAATTTTTTTTAGGCATGAAAAGTTTTGCCTTGAAAGCTAACAGGAATCTTAACATGGAGGCAGATGACAAAACAAAAACCCGGATAGCTCAAGTGACTAACTTCTAAAATGTATTATGAGCCAACCAATCAAAAGTACTGACAAGGCAGCAAACTAGCACCGCATAGGTAAACTAATGCATGCATCTGACATCCAGATTTCCTTATGATCCAGACTCCTTTCTCTTAAGAGGTCAGGGTTTATAAAGCAGGCTCTCTTCCCATCTGTTCCAATCCCCTACTCTCGAAGTCTGCACTATAACAATAAAGGGTGACCTAGAGACCAATGCAAGAGATAGAAAATAAGTGACCTGCTCATTGACTCAGCATTCAGACAAAGCCAATGAATTAACAACAAAAATAAGCAAGCTTCAGAGCTAGAAATGATAATTATAGGGCTAAGACTTTTTTTTTTAATTTTTGTTTTTTAGCACTTAGCACACACAGGTCCAAATGTTTGAAATAATCCAGCAGACTAATTTGTGAAGAGGTATAACCATTTATTAACATTTCTATGATTCATAATAAGTCATACTCTCCTGAGGCTAAAGATACTATTGTCTTTTTAAAGATGAAGAAACTGAATATTTAATGTTAAAATACCACGTTAACAAAAAGCTGGGGGGCGGTGGGGCAGGCCTTTAATTCCAGCACCTGGGAGGCCGAGGCAGGAAGATCTCAGTGAGTTCAAGGCCAGCTTGGTTTACAAAGTAAGTTCCAGGAAAGCTAGGACACAAGAGAAACAGAAACCCTGCCTCAAAATACCAAAAAGGACAACTTGCAGATAGCACATGTTAAAGTTAGTAGCTCATGTACAATATCCTTTGATTTGTCGGGCAGAGCAGTACTTGGGTCACAAAGTCAATTCCTATTTGGAGGTTATGATGGGGGAGGGGAAATGGAACAGTGGAAATTCATGCAGAATGGACTTCCTAAGAACATCATGTGATAAAGCACGGACTATCAAGGTTCTTTCTACAAATGAGCTTTCCTCCCTTAACTTCACATTTTGACTTACAGATGATAACAAGGCTTTCTTCTCTTTCTGAGACAAGTTATCATTTGAGTGAAATGTTTCAACTACTCCATTATTTAACCCTGTTATCCTAATTATTCAGCATTCCCTATTCCTTTTACTACATTTATTTGATGCACACTTTTCAAATAAAGTTGGCCTTTCTGTGTGGTGGCTATTGGGAAAAAAATAATTACCAAATCTTTGTTTGAAGATGGGGAGAATACTATAGAAGTAAAAAGCAGAGGAAGCCAAAGCCTTCAGGAAGTGAAGTATTCATAAAACTGAATGGTTACTAACTGTAAATGACTAGTAGATTTTAAAAATTACCATTCAACATTAACATTCAGCATAGTCCATTTGTTCAGTTTAAATG